TCTCTATCTAAGAATCCAGCAGACAAGATGAATCTTGGCTTCGTTGCAGTCTCCCATCCTGAGCAAGCACAGTGGAGACAGTGGAAAGAAAAAAACTCCCTTTAACAGGAAGAAGCCTCCAGCAGAACCAGGCTCAGGACAAGCGGCCATCTGCTTTGAGAGGATTCAAACCCCCAACTCTTGCATTGGAGGACGACTGCTGTAACCACTCAGCCACAGCCGCCCCAAACCCTTGTTGTTATTTTAGTTTTTATACAATACTGAAAGCAACAAGTTAATTTTGTCAAACGAATAACTATAATTTCTTCTTCTTTTTTTAATTAATTTGTTTGTCATAAAATTTATTGGTATCGTCAGAATGCTCTGAAATATTATACAATATTATATTTCAGCCATACTGCCCACCCCTACTACCAGGGGCAATTAAAATTGCCCTGTGTTTAAAAGTTAAAGTGATAGATGTAGACCTGATGATTTTTGAAGTTTTTGTTAATTAGTTTATCCAACCTGAGGTCATTCTGTCCCTTTGAGAAACCAAACAGAACTACAGTAACACCTGTTCTTAGTGACGGACCTTGCCACTCACAAAGCTGCCGTTGAGGTTTTGTTGTTGTTTGTTAGGTTTCATATCCCCATGTCACAGAATTGTGGGACAGCGGTGATAGACCTTTCCTAAAGTTTCCTTCAGTGATAAAAAAAAAACCTGCTAAAAATGGAGTGCACCACTAAATCCAACAAAATGTGTGCATGGTAACTCACCATGTGGAAAAGATGAGATTCCATATCCTGGAGGTGCTGGCGTTGGGCTGGCTCTGTTCAGAGGGGGGTAAAGACCAGTGGACCCTGTGGCCCCTGTGACTGACGGCCCACTCGGAGTTGCAGCCACAGCCCCGTTGGGCTGCTGGTTCGGGGAGAAAAAGAGGCCGGGAGCATAGCTGAAAGCATGGGGCGACACCAGCTGAGACTGGCGCTTGTTGGACAAATCATCACTCATAATGTTTCTACCCTCTGCTCCTGGGGGGAATTCAGCTGGAGGAGCACTGGGGGAGCTGTAAGAGGACAACCTGGAGCGCGGCGCTGGACGGGGAGCTGGTTTAGGAGCCGGACGAGGGGGTAGTGTTGGTGAAGAGGCAGGAGCAGAGGTGTCTGGTGAAGAAACAGGAGCTGTAGCCTTTTCAGTGGAAGGAGGAACTTCTTTTTTGACAGAACATCGTTTTTTGTCCAATGAGACATTCCCAACGTGGATAGGTAACATCAGCATGACGTCTGGAGACTTCAGACTCACCTGAGTAAACAAACAAAATGAGTAATATCAGCTCTAAAATCAAATATAAGCATTGAAAAAAATGTCTTAAAGACGTATAAATTATATTAGTAAAATCTGACACAGTGCAACAGCAATAAGGGCAAATTAACAAAGTTTTTCAAGTTCAAGTCAATTTTATTGTCATTTACATCACATGTGGAACATTAGGTGGAAAGAAATTATATACTCAGGTAGGGCTGCAACTAACGATTATTTCAATAATCGATTCATCGGCCGATTATTTTTTCGATTAATCGATGAATCGGCAAAAAAAATCCAACGTTTTAATTTCCACCCCTTTGTTCCAAAATTGAACATTTGACTGACATAGCAATTCACACAAAAAAACAGGTTGCTATTTTACTATTCTGTTAGTAAAATATTGAATAATAAAATATCAAAGTTAGTCAAATAGCTTAAAAAAATAAATGTACACAAAAATATATACAAATGTATTTTTATACCTGCACAGTATGTAGCTACTTTGTAAAATGTGTCCTTGAGGGAAGAGTGTAACCTGGATTAAAAGTGTGGATTATTGTAACCTGGATTAAAAGT